TAGAGTATTAGTTTATGAATGTTGTACTGTAATTGAACATACCATGAATTGCCTATGACATCGTTTTGTTGCTACATCCCATCGGACTAGCGGCCCATCCCTTTGAGGCTACAATCAAAAAGTGATGGGATGAGACTTGTTCCGACTGTCTCAGGAAACATGACATTTAAGTCAGTTGGTGAAATTTGAGGCAAATTGCTCAAGTAGTTTAGTGAATGTCATATAAAAGTATTTATTTGTGGTCCGTTTGTGAGTTATAATTGATTTTTTTTTTGAAATTGGCTCGTGCAAACTGGACTTTTCTTCCATATATGTTTTCTCTACGATGTATGGTGGAATCATTTCTTTACATGTTAATGCATATGGAGAAGCAGCGAGGAGAAAGTGGTAGCGACGAAAAGGAGAAAAAGCTATATATGATCTGCAACAGACCGTGGAGTAAACCCTAGCGTGGAAATTTAGTTGTGTAAAGACAGAAATAGCCTTGTAAATAACTGAACATACCACTGAATGTCCTATGACACCATTTTTGTTGTACATCCAATGTAACCGGCGGCCCGTCTCTAGGATCAACGAGCGATGTGTTGGGACTTGTTTCGGCTGTCTCAGAAAACATGAAATTTTCGGTTGGTGAAGTTTGAGGCAAATTGCTCGAATTTGGTAAATATCTCTTAAAAATGTTTATTTTGATCCATTTGTGAAATATAATCGAGAAATTTTGAAATTGGCTCGTGCAAACTGAATTTTTCTTGGATAAATTGATGTTTTTTTTCTTTCATGTATTATGACCAGGCTAGGTGTCCCTTTTTTTATTTATTTGTAGTTTACATTTTTTTTTAATATGCGAATCATGTTTAAGATAATTGAATTGTGCGACCACAACAAAATATCTTGCTGCAAATCCTGTTAAAATACCAAAAATAATTTTAGAAACACATTTGAAAGCATTTGTTAATGATTTTAGAAACACATCTAAATCTATGAATTAGTTAAATAGCATATAAAAAACAAAATAAATTCAATAATAAATTCAAGGGTTTTCTGCAAGTAAACCCTTCAAGTGCTTAGAGTTTGCGATTTTACCCTTCATGTCATTAAATCACAAGTCAATCTTCAAAGTAAGAGTCAACCCGCAATATAACCCTTCTAAACTTGTCAAACCACAAAATTTACATATCAAATCGAAGTTCCTGAAGGAATCCAAATGGCCAAATCTACTCTTAAAATTTAGAAACTCTAAAACTTGTAGACGTAAAGACTCTTCAATATTTCATATTAGAAGGATTATATTGCAGGTTGACTCTTACTTGGAAGATTGACTTGTGGTTTAATGACGTGAAAGGTAAGATCGCAAATCCTAATCATTTGGAGGGTTTATTTGCAGAAACCCTAAATCCAAACTGTATAAAATTACTAATCTAAGTGAAATCAATTAAAGGGTAATCACGAATTACTGTTACTAATGCACTAATTGTTCTTATTTTATTTTGTACAATTATAAATAATAAATCCTTACTCAACGACATAATGCACTAGTTATTCTCATTTTCACCAAAGCCAAAGAATTAAACCAAACTCCAATGATGAAGAAGTAGCATGCAAAAAATGCAGCGAATAAGAAGTCGGTGAAGGATAAAGCATCGGTGGACAATCCGTTGGTGGAAGATGTTGTAAACTATATACTATAAGGTGAGAGATTCATGTATATATGTGTTTAACTTTCATATACATACGTGTAATATAACATATATAATAACGAGAGAGAAGAAGAAGATAATGTGTGTTTGTATAGAAGAGACGAGAGAACGAGAGAGAAGAATAGAGTTGATCTTCTTGTTCTTATTATCATTGTTCCTCACGTACATATATATAGGGTGCAGAAGTCGGCAAATGTGTTTTTTAAAGGAGAATAAACCAATTAAAATAATCTAATGGATAAATATTATCTAAATGGATAATTATCCATTTTATAACA